GGTTGCAGGGCTGGGCAGCAGTTGCCTAGGTGTAGTCAGGTCATGTCTTGTCTAAACATAGCCATTATCTCATCACAAAAGCACTATCTCGTCTTTGAGCTGCCCCCCATTCTCTTCTCGACCCAACAAACCTGCGGAGTATCAGTAAAACTGAGAGAAGTACTCTGCGGCTCAAGTCGGCCGTCAATATTACAGGAACAATGCTCTTCGAGTAGCCCGTGTTTACGATGAGTGTGCATTTGGATGGTCACAAGTATGTAGGACTTCGCATGAGGTACCTTGCAGGGCAGGATGCTGACATTCTGATGGCGCCGACTGATCCTTTGCTGTATCATGCAATGCTAATATGAACTCACAACGATGGCTCATTGACTTGGACAGAAGAAGTGATAAGGCATGTGCGCGTGGTTAAATAGTAATGTTTGGATACAATTCTTTTGGCCACTGCCGAGAAAGTTTTAGCAACTCTGAGCTGCTTTCAGGTGCAGACATCTTCATTCCTGATGAGGAGACGAAGAAATGCTTGCGCGCAGTTGTCTGAGCAGATTTTGTGGTTTAGGGGTTCTTTTATTTGGCCCGGGGCTCATTGCCCACGTGCAAAATCTGGGCCACAGATGGTCAAAAACGGGAAGATGTTCATCACGATGCGGCTACATCATCACATCAAAACCAACGCGAACGACGCATGGAAGAGACACGACTGGCATCACTATGAATCAATCACTGCTGAGGTTGGAGAAAGCTTCGAAGTGTGCCGCGTAGCCAGAGCCATGTCGCACTGGCTTGCATGTGTCTATTGCTGCTCGTGTCGCACATGTAGTTTCACTGTCAGGGTACAGCGTAGAGTGGCACCAATCGAGAACAAAATGCGGCTTCAAAACCAATGCCTGCTTTGCAGGCACTGTTCGGGCAATATTCATGTCTTTTAAGGTTAGCCGTCTGCGTGAATACACTGTTGGGCTTGTTGCCAGAAGACCTTCTTCGCAATGTACAGTCGCATCGCATTCCCGAAGGAAAAACGGGTTTTGTTTCCAGCTCCTACGAATCGTGTGGGTTTGGGGGAGGACTCTGGACGACTCGGTGGTGGGGTTTAAGTGGGTCTGACGGGTGTCTTATGGGGTCTTCCCTGGGTCGCTGTGGGATTTAATAATTTAAGTATGGATTAAGTACGGGTCTTGTGGCTGTGCAATTTCAAAAGCCGTCTGCTGCCGCGATGTAGAGAGTTTAGATTCTCTATTGATGTCCTGCGGTTTCCACCTGAAATCCATCCGAATGCACCCTGGCTCAGGGTCCCCCCACGGGTCCCATCGGGGTCCCAAACGGTCCCACAAGAGCCATCCGGGTCTCATTTTTCTAGGGCCGGTCCCACACCCCGTTTAAGCTTTAAATTTGAAATGACAGCGAGGCGGGCCCATGCACGGTTTTGACCATGGACCTGTCTTTAGAATTGAAGTTCGAGTCATGTCCCAAACGGAGTCAGTATCTGCTAGCTAGTAGCAGCTAGTAGCATCGTACAAGTCCGGCGGGGGGCCTTCTTCGCAGAAGTTCGTCGATGGTGCTTACAGGTTTGGTTTTTCTTCAAAGACCCACTCATTGGGGGTTGCACATGGACCGAGTTTCCGGCCTGGAATCTGACCTCCAGACAGTCTGCGCATCATTGTACCGTCGGAGTTCTTGTCGTTTCGGTCAATTGAAATTCATCTGCAAACGAACCCGTCCGAAACCCGAGTCAACTCCTCCCCTCATCACGAAAAGGGCGCACATCACCTCGTCAGTACACTTACACCTTCAGGATAGTTCAATGTCAAGCACCTCCGACATGCTCCTGAGTTCTTCCGTTTCTCCGGGATGAACGCCTGCTCTGTGTGGCTTGTCTCGCTCTCTAGTTTGGCTTGGCGTCTAGGCTTCCGCTTCGATCCATGGCCCGAGGTCCAAGCGCATCAGTCGGGGCTTTCTGCAACATTGCTGTTGCCTGGCCGTGTCACTCATGCTACTCGGGGCTACGTAAACCTCGCAAGCCGAAATCTCAGCGCCTGCTTCTCCACGCGCCCGAAGAGATCTCCAATGGGGTCTGCAGCGATGGACTTCTCGCAGTGGATGTACCTGCAGGTGCGCAGATGCCAATCGGGATAAGCCTTGCAAACTTCAGGTTCGATCCGTGTCGTCTGCTGGGCTTCGGCTGAAGGTGAAGTGGCAGGCTCAGGCACGAAGATTAACTTGACGAATTTTATGGTCCCAGTGCTTCAGCCTCAGGGTCTTTGCATCGGAATCGTACCCGAAAAGGGTGTCCGGAACAGTACGGATCAGCGCCAATGATTGTTCGGAACTCACGCCAACCTACTTATGAGGAAGACGTAACAAGCAAACGCATGCCTGCTACGCCAGCCGACTGTGGCCTGGTCCCTGGAGGCATGTCCAACTTGACATTTGCGACACCAGCTCCATCCTGGCCACCTGAGCGAGAACTGTACACTGGTAAAAGGACAGCATGGTGCAGATCTACGCTTCACTTGCCATCTCCATCATTGCGGTCGTCTTGCCTGCATGCTCGCTGAGACTACACATGAACGGAGCTGTTGGTCTTTGGCTCTTGCGGTCGAAATTTGAGGAATGCGATGTGCCCGGTGCAATGCTTCGTGAAAGATCAACACAGATTGTGCCTCAACTGACAATCCCGGATGGAACTTTGCAGCAAAACCACGATTTCGCTGCTTCTCCATGAGCAGGTGCATGCGGTTGAGGCCTCGACAGTGCCGCAATGAGTGCAGATACACATGTGTGTGAGAGAGAGAGAGAGAACACTATAAAACTAGTAAAATTATGATCTTCCTCATTATGCTCAGACGCCATACGCCGCACTATTTGTATTGAGTTCGTTGGAGACATAGTCACAATCGCGACTAGATTGCAACTCAGTTATGATCGTCAGTACCCACACAGCCTGACCAGTACATTCCAACACTTTCATCAAGCTTCTCTTGGGCTTGAAGAGCTCAACTTCCAGGTAGAGTCAGTGTTGTCGACGCATGTTGCGATCCCGGACTTCATTCGTGTTGCTCTTTTGTGTTGTGGGATGCACCTTGCATCGCATTACGAGACCTGTCGCCAGTTCCAATTATGCTAGGTTGTTGAAGGTTCCTCCTGCCCGCATTGGTTGTTGATGCCAGCTTTTGGTTGCTGTGTACTCCGCACCTTGCTCTAGCTCCCTCGAAGTTTCTTGCAAACGACACTGATGGTGTAAACAGCTCTGCACATTCGAAAAAGCCAACACCACCAGCCCTGAAAAACTTTCTGAACGCTGAGCTCTGCGCCAAAGAAGTGCGTGCCATACTTCTCAAGATAATACCTGCGGAACAGTCTCCACGAGTCGGACTCGGCAACATGAAACTGAGGCTCGTCTGTCTTGCACACCATCATCCCCATCATCCTTAGGTCCTTGTGATGCCTTGTAATCAAGAACCGCGGCGTAGATCACCATGACCTTCAACACTCTGCTAACTAACATCGGCCTGAACAACACAGCTAGCACCATCACCATCAGCAGCAGTAGCAGTAACAGCAGCACTAAAACGGTCAGCATTCTTGCGCTACTTCAACAAACGTAAGGGTAATAAGAAGAATCTGACGGAGCCCTACACCCTAAACACTACATCCTCAACCCAAAACGCTGCGAGAGGATAGACGTCTCCTCTTGGTGTCCGCACTCTGGTGGCTTCAGCAGGCGAAGCATGGCAAATCCGCACTCATGCCTCGGATGCGGCATGTCAGGCTTTACGGTGTCTAGAGTATGGCTTAAATATCAGGCTCAGTTTCAACATTTAGATCCCTGCCTGTCTGAAACTGCCAGCAGCTCTTTCGCGGAGAAGAGAAATTATCCCGGAACTCTTCAAGACTTGCTTTCAAGATGTAGGGTTCCCGGTCGATTGTATAAGGAGCCCGATTCTTCGCGGGCTCTTCCGTGTTGGGGACTATTTCAAGGCTCTCAGGGTGGATTGGGGTCTAGCATGTCCAGCCACCCGAATCCGTGACGTTCGTTGGCTCCTGGCCGGGGCCGGGTGTTTATAGGGTTTTGAGCCCTATGAAACAAACTTGATGAACACAAGTGAGATCGTTTATGCCGGCTCCATTTCGGGATGCAACAATCCTATAAGAGCTCGTTTGTACCAACTAGGACCGTAACTCGGAAACCAACTGCTGGTGTCCGAAGCTGAAAGAACGCCTGACGCCTCGTCAAAGCTGAGTTTCCGGCCCAATGTCGTCACCCATGGCACCAAAGAGCAGGAACAAGGGGTTCTCCGAACCGGCGTGCCTAGACCCTTTCTCAATTGTTCGGCCCCGCTTCACAAGGGCAGGTGTGTCGTGCTTGAGACGGCAACGGCACGCTCATCATCAGCAAGTGACGGCGTTGGGGAAGGACTGTCTTTGTGAAACCTGTGCCAAGAACTAGTCTAATCGTTCCCGTGTTTATCTCACTCTCCCCGTTCGCTCCCTGCCCTCCCCGAGCTGTGGCAAGACCTATCTGTCTAATTTGACTCGACACAAATATGTCTCGTGTACGGTCAAAAAGCTTAAGCAGAGATCCACCTTTTGGCGACTCATGTGCAACAGACCCAGTGCCGACGGTTGATGACGGCACACGTTTGCGTTTCGAACTCACCACAAAGCCCCCTAAACCCTAAACCCTAAACCCAGGGAGCAGGCCCTTACATTCCGATCAGCAACTATCAGCTTTCGGTCTCTTGTGGCTGACCCGGTCCCGGTTTGCGGTTGCCCTGATGGTTACAACATACACGCAGGGTGATCACTGCTTTTTTTGTGCTGATGATGTTGATGCTGACGGTGCCGAGGGTTCTGTTCTTGTACTTTCCTTGATAGAAGTATTACAGCGTAAGAATCGGGGCATCGCTAAAAGCTCTTCTGCACGCTGGCTAAGTTATGCCAAGTTCTACTCCCAACGACATCCATGCGTGGGCTTGGCCTCCTAGGACGGAACGGGAGTCCTTCGTGCAACACGCCCGCCAGTAGCGGCAGAAGTTCAGGCGCACGTCGTTCTCACTGCGCAGCAGGAAGGGTTTCGGACTTCACGGGATTTCAAGGGATCAGATCCTAACCGAGGCTGCCATCTGCGTGTTCTTTATGCACAGAAACAGAAACCGCGTCAGTACCAATGCTATCACAACAACATGATCCAAACATGATAGCAGCAGGACTGGCTATGCTTAAGACGTACCCGCACTTCAGTCATCCCACTAGACCAGAAGCCTCTGAGTCGAAGCTTAGGCTACTACAAGCAATCTCTTGCCAGCCTGAGGTCGTAGTAAAGGCCGTGATCCAGCAGAACAAGCTGCGGGTGCAGCTCGCCACCTCCCGCCGGCCAGGATGGCAGTGCTTGGGTTTGGTTGGCCACAAAGGGGCATCGGGGAGCTTGCAGGAACTCAGCGACTTCGTAGATCTTTTCTCCGGAGTCGGGCCTGGTTCTTTCCTTGGCTCGAGCCTCAGCTCGGCCTATCTGGCCTTCTTGCCTTTCTTTTTGGCCTGTCCCTTGCCTTTCTTGGACTTGTTCAAGCGGCCTCTGTCAGACATACCTCGAGGGCCAATGGCCTGCCAAGACAGAAAGCACGACTTGCAGTACCACCACTGATCCTCGTAGTAGTCTTTTCCAACAATCCGCGGCTTCTTGCACCAATCGCAAAAGAAGTCCCTTGTCAGGATGCCTCTGTTCATGTCCTGTGCCACGCGCTCGACATCGTACGACGAATGCCTTTGCAGGAAGTTCCAGACAGATTTGGGATACACATAACTTGATCCGTTGTTGCTCCATGCCACCACATCTGGAGTTCCCTTTACAAAGGCTTTGGCTTTGCCAGGGAAGAGCTGGTGCGGTTCCCCGAAATGGTCTTTGGCTTTTCCGGCCATGTGCCGGAACTTAAACCCTTCCAAGCGCGGCTCGGGTCCCAATTCTGCCAACTCAGCCACCTCAGGAAGGCTTGCACGTTTGTGATATATCATGGGGCGGCTTCTTCATGCTGGCCTTCTCTCGAAGTAGGCGCGAGATCTCGTTTTGCAATTCGCGGACATAAGCCCCCTCGGGAGTCGGCCAATCATGGACTGCAGGGTCCCAAGCATCGCAATCTTCTTCCTCCTCATATTCCTCCTCCTCCTCCTCCCCTTCCTCCTCCTCATCGACAGGTTCTGCCCCTCGGGCACCGAGGAGATGAGCCTGCGATTTTGCTGGCATCTGCTCATCCAACTGGGCCGCAAGCGCGCGCTTCCTTGCCTTCAAACTCATCGGGCAAGAGGCGCATGGGACGGACGGCCTTGACACCTCGGGAAGTCTGGACGACACAGACCTCGACGAAGGCATGAGCAGCCATCAGATAATGTAATTGCTCACATTTCCGGTTCCATGAGCCCACCAGCCCAATGTCATTCACCAGCTCGACGGCGTAAAAGTAGATATCATCTTCCTCCCCTACGCACTGGATGTATCCGAAAGAATGGTCTTCCCTCCAGAAGAGCTTCTTCCGACGACCGCGCCGGAGAACGTTGGCATCAAGGGAGGGTTCAGATTCCATGGCAGCAACACTGCGAACAAGAAACACAAGGACCCGAGTTCAGAACAGCCCTCTGTGTTTGCTTTCGCTTCGAGCCTGCATTCCGGACACACCCCTGAATGTCAAACCAGTGCAGGATGGCGTCCAGAGGATCTGACTGCGTACAAAGGCCTACACCTTCAAAAAAAATGAGACGAAATCGTCATCGTCGCCGCCCTTCGTGGCCGTCGTGCTCGTCATCCACATCTTCTTTCTCAGCAGCGTGTGTCCATCATAATCATCACCACCATCATCGTCGTCGTCCACTTATCGCTACTTATGGTGTCGCTCAGGTGTGGCACTTTTCTCTTCGGCAAGCGATGTCCGGGAACTGCGACGAGCTTTGCACCGGCGTCCACAGGAAGCTGCACGTTGCGACGCGCAGGCTTTCGGCAGCGGAGTTCCCCATGCCGCACGCACTGGTCCAGGACATCGGCTGGTTCACGGTCGGCGTAGTGGCACGAAGCCTTCGCAAACTTGCTTTGGGGCCGCTTCGGGAACGGGTCTTTCCCCACACCAGACGAGGCATCTCTGGCACTTCATCTCTGGGCTAGCCTCAGGTCCGGTTTTTTTACAGGCATCTACACAGGACGTAAACCAAACAAGGCTAGAGTGACATCTGAACATGCCCTGCCAGTACCCCTGCAGCTTTTTTCAAGCAAACTCAGACCGAAGCTTCTGGCTACTATGGGCCGTCAGTTCACAAGTGCGGCCTTGTGCCGGTCAAGTGTCCACGACAGTTTCGGCAGCCACCTGAGCTGCTACTCCAAACAGCCACATGCTGAAGCTGCAGGATTGGTGGTCTTGTGGCTTCGGGTGTTGGATCTTGGCTTTTAGCTTGCAAATGCTCGAGACACTGGGGGTACCACCTTACGAAAGGACGGTGTGGGCTGAAGACAACAAAGCGCGCATGGGTTTCGGACTTGAGTCTCCGTGCAAGATCTCACAGTTCACGAGCGAGAAGTCCTAACATCGCGAGGGCTAGCCGCACGAAGCAGTTTTCAATTTGCTCAGACATCAAAATGAAGAAAGTTCCTTCGGTGCCAACGTCTAACAGCGCAACGGCAAATGCAGTGTGTGTGTGTGTGTACGCTTCTACACACTAGTTGATAGATATTAGTGGGTCCAGTAGGTAGATAGATACATAGATGGATAGTTCGATAGATAGATAGATAGATAGATAGATAGGGTTGCGTTCAGCGACCGTATGCGACTTGTGCGTCCTGCTTCTGCCTCAGACTCATGAACCACGCTGCCAACTAGAAACAAGGAGCGGAACGAGTTTGCAAAAACCTGAAGACAATGCTGCCCGGTGACCCAGGAGAGATATTCAGAATTGCCGCCCAGTGGGGTCCTGATAGACAATCATTGTAGCAGACGAGCAAGGAAAACTCACAGGCTGCTGATACTCATCATCGGCAACATCATCCTGATGAAAAGATGAGCCAACAGCAACTACCACGATCATGACAAGGAGGATGGTGTTCACAAACGGGATGACGGTGCCCACACTGAAAGAGCTGCTACGCTACCGCGACTCGTATTCCAACGTTCATTACTGTCATGTCGCTTTAGGTCTGTCTTTGGGATGCATTGTCAATGCTCTCCGGCACGTCTGTTCATCAGGCGGTCCAGTCAATGGAGAGGTCGCTGCCGTTCTCTTTCAGCCAAGCCTGGCAAGATGTGCAGATAGAGAGCCGCAATAATAGTATCTCTGACTTGTCGATGGTTCTGCAAACATGAAGGCTGACGTACTACCGTGCAACAGTACAAGAGTCTCGGTCTCGGCTGCTGCTTCAAGGCGAGAGGCATTAAACGATCCTTTGAGACATAGAACCCACACATGCAAAGGGGATTGGGGTAGATCTGCCCCTGCTCGGGGCTGCCCGGCATGCAGAGAGAGAGAGAGAGAGAAAGAGAGAGAGAGAGAGAGAGAGAAAGAGAGAGAGAGAGAGAGAAAGAGAGAGAGAGAGAGAGAAAGAGAGAGGGAGAGAGACAGACCGACCGACCGACAGACAGACAGGCAGCCTGCATACAGCGTTCAAGTAAAAGCTCTGAAAGACGAGCCCGACAACATGCCAGAGTCTCAGACATTCTCCAAAAGTCCGCCGGCATCCCCGGCAAACCCAGAACTCGGAATCCCAAACACAAAAGAAAGGAAGTCCCCTTCACGGCCTCTACGCCACTACGGCCCGAGGCCGTGGTGTGGAGCACCGCCGAGGCCGAATCCTGGAGTCAAAGAAATCAAGGCGTGGCTTCGCTTTTGTTCGCAGCCGGCACTCCCCGAGATGACCTGAGATCTGCCTTGGTTTTGAAGCACCAGAGAACTTCGACAAAAGTGCTAGGCACATCTCTGGCTCTCCTGCACCTCTAAACAATGCAGAACCCACAACTTGAACAGAACGAAGCTGAATTGCAGAATGCCGGTGCGTAGTCTACTTCTGCAACTATGCACTTCTGCCCGAGTCGCCTCCCCCAGAATGCCCTCCACNNCCCCCCCCCCCCCCCCCCCGCCGCAACCTCTTCCACCTCCACAGCAGCACAAAGCTGCGCGGCCAGCAACTCCCCCGCGACGCGGGTGAGCTCCTGGAGTAAGTCCAGCTCTCTGGCTGATACTCCTGCCTCTGGGCCCCATGAGATTTTTACGTCTGCACCCATCTTGAACTTGCTGGATAACAGAAGGCCCACATCTCAGCACGCCACCAACTTTCAGCCTTCACCTCGATCTCAACTCCAGGTTTCCTCAACAGTCGTCCCTGACAGCGCACCGCGGAAGAACCTGCAGTCGAAGACCGGCCCGGGCCCCAGGGTTGCAGGTATGTCGGCATGTGTCTAGTAGAGACACACGTACGAACGAATGAATGTATGAATGCGTGCATGTATGTAGGTCATGTATGTACCTATGATATGCTTCGGTTTACCTTGCTCTTTGAAAGCGTATACATATATTTATATATATGTATANNATATGTATATATGTATGTATTTACATACTACGATGTCAGCTGGCGGCTTGGTTTAGAGGGAAGGCGGGGAAGAGACGGAGCGAAGATGCACTGGATAGCCCAGGATGCAGAGTAATATCCCAACTCTGCATCATCCTATGGTATGGAAGTACGGCACATAGGACTTCAAAAGAAAGCTGACGGCAAGATCGCCCTGAGAGCTAGGGTCCAGACTCCGCATCGCCATCAACATCGAGGCCCTCCACCAAGATCTCGGAACACTCGCAGCGATAACTGCAGTTGCAGCTGCAAAACCGTGCTGGTAGCTCGTGCCATCGAAGGTTTGCCAGTCATTGCCTCCTGTGTCTCATAACACCAGGGCCGCGGCCATCGGTATCTCCTCGACGAGAGCTTCTCCCATCATTGAGGACACAAGCACCAGAGACCTCCCGAACCGGACTCCACATGCCTAGACTTAGTCAGAGCTTGGGAGTAGAGGGTTTGCACAATCAGGAACAGCAGGATACAGGCCAATTGCACATATACGTATGTATATAT